TAGCGTTAGTTCTGGCAGGTCACGTTAGTCAAGCTCGCATCAGCTGACTCTCAGCTGATCCCCATCTACCTTGGGAATACGACACCCATCTTAAGCATTCATATATAAGGTCCCTCAGTGTTATCAGCAGTTTTTGCATTGCTCAATAGCTAATTACCCTTCTCCATCCCCAACTCCTCCTCTGTCAGTCGGGGTTTCAGACTTCTGATTCTCCTTTGAATCAGACTAATTCTAAAATGTGTACATAAAATTATTGAACTTTAACAATATCTGCAATACATTTATGTTGGTTCTGTTCTGTTTACTCTGGGGGGTTATTGCTGCTCTCCCTGCTCTCATCCATGCTAGGCTGGTGCAGGGAGTTGTTGCCCAGAACAGAACCACACCGCCAATCCAAACTGTATGCTAATTGTCCTGACAGAACTACATTTACAGCAATATACTTACAATGGAAGTCCAGTAGGCCAGCAGGCACCACTGTAAATAAATGTTTAAAAATGCTGCAAACAAACTATTCCATCATTTTGAAAGTATTGCAACCATTCTAACATGCTTCCTGTTTTCTCCACCAGCTCTTCATATGCCAGTATCATATTTGGCTGGCAGCGGACACCAAGGGCATCCTGGTCCTCATTCCTGGAAACCCCACTTTAAACATTATCGTCAGCACATTCATCTTTGTCTGTATAGCTCATGAGATCTCCCAGATCACCAATGACTTGGCCCAGGTGGCCATTCCTAAAGAGAGCGGGCCTCTACTGAAGAGACTGCTGGGGGCAGGGGTCTTTCTAGGTTTGGTACTGATACTGTCTCGAAACGAGTAATCCAGGGCAACCAGAGACAGTAGCACACCTCGTCCGGTGAGGATCCTAATGGATCTGTCTGTATAAAATCAAGAAACTCAACCAGCTTAGAAAAAAACAAAATTTCTAGGAATTGATCCAGGGAATTCTTACGGCATGGGTCTGTACACCTGTGCTCTGCCCTCTCATAGCTCTGAGATCTGTTTTATGGACAGTATTTAATAATTTATGTTTCTCTTTTATATGGGGTTATGTGTTTGTGTGTCCTCATTGTCTCCCAGTTCTCAGTTTTCGTACACGACACCCATGACTGCAAAATGTGAAGAAGTAATACATTGCTGCTTCTCACCTTGTAAAACTGAAAAAACTACATCGGCTCGTGCGCCAAATGTTTCCATACAAACAATTATTTGCATTCATATCACACCAGCAGCTTTATCCTTTAGGTGAACAACCTCTCGTGAAGATTATTGAAAGGCGAACATCCATTTCCATGCCATCATAAAATCTTAATGGGAGTGAATTTGGTTCCCACTACAAATGGAATCCATAAGCATGTACTGCTTCCATCAGAATGTTTTCCAGAAGTCGATTGTTTTGCTCCGTTAATTTTGGGTGGATGCTGGAGGAACAGCTTTTGATATAAAAAGTAAACTTGAATTATTAAGACAAAAGAAGTCATGCGCATTGATCAGACGCAATCAGAACACGATGCCCCCTTTCGATTGCACTGAGCGTCTTCCCTGCAGACTTTGAGTCGTCTGAGCCAGTTATCGTTTGGTTTTCTTACCACATGGGTTCACTCAGTTCATAAGAATACAGCTTAATGTTAGAGCCAGCTTTGTCTACGATCAGAGACCTCATTATTTATTGTTTAATATATGTCTTCATATCCTCTCAAACTGCTTGAAATGCGGCAACTGATGCCCGATGTTCATGTTCAGTTTAATGTATTTTTTAAAAATATATTACATGTAAAAAAAGTTAAATTTAATTATCGGTTTTCTGATAATGCTGTAAATAGATCCTTCATCTTGTGCCATTGAGAGACAAAGGCGTATTGTTTCAATAGTGGTACTTCATTCTAGATAAAATATACTGACATTTTGGTTGAGAAGTTGCATTTACTATGAAACTATCCCAATTTTAAATCTACTTTTCATTGCAGTTCAATATGTGAATTTAAAAGCAACTGCAAGGTATATTCATATTTTTTTTCATCAGTGAAAATGCTTTTTTTTTTCTCTAAGCAAAATAAAATCTGTAGTGTGCCATTATTTGGCACATTCATGCTACTAACTAAAGTTTTTTTTTTTGAATACTTCACCTTGTCTATGTTCATAAAATAAATTATCTGTACAGTTTGGTATAAGTTTTATTTAAAGAAACCCCAAAGGCCTCAAATGAATTGTGTATATAGTATGTTTTGTCCTAAAATGTGAAATTATTCATTTAATTTGGAAATGCCTTCATCTTATTGTACAGTCAATGTTGACGATAAATCCCTTCTAAAAAAAAAAATTTTTTTTTTTTATTCATCTTCATTTGTTTAAATGCCTTACATCCTCAGAAACAGACATATGCCAGCATAGTTATTTACTGGCAAGTGTATTAATTTATCAAAACCCATTTAATCATATAAGAGAACAAAACAAACAATATCAACTTGTTCAGATCCCAGTAAATGTGCCTTCATTAGTTGCTCATACAATAAAATTAGAACATTTGACAACATATTTAATGTGGATTCTATTTTAAAGTATTCTTTTAGTGTGCCCATCTCAACATTAGTTCTGACACTGAATAATGTTTGGATAATGCACTTTTAGACATGAGCTTGAAGCTACAGCTACACATGCACATTTGGCAAGATTAAACAGGCACAGAATTGAAGCCACATGAGATCACAGGTTTAGAGCTTCGGCCACCTTTCTCTCCTCAGGAATACCATTTACCTACAATGAGAGGAACATTTTAGAAACCTGAAATAGCTCATCTTGTTCTTTTTTGTTAAAACACATTATCACAGATGCAAAGAGTATACTTGCCTCTAGCCTCCGAAAAGTCGACATACAATAATTATCTCCTTTGTTAGCATGAATGAATGAACAGCATGTTAGACAGGAAGAGATTTCACAGCCGTCTGATGGCAGTTCATTATGTGTACACTGGGGTTCACCAGAGAGCAATGAAAGAGACTAAAGCACCAAGACTGCAATTACCATCTCCACTGCTAGGAGAATGGCCACAGCCCTTAGTTTTTATGGATAATTTAAGAAAATGTTTAAATCTATTTCTGTGCCATCTGGTATCAGGTGCTGTTTGTATCAATGGGATGAAAAGCTTAGGCATCTGTTTTAAATGCTTCACTTACCAGAGGACTGCTGCTGTGGTATTTGGATCTGACTTTGAAGATTTCTGTGAATAAACACAAAGCTGTGGTCAAAATGCTCATTACTAACACTCTTTTAGGGTTAGGAAATGAGAACCAATTCCATTAAGAAAAAATAGCATAATGAGGGTCGGTTGTATTAAGAGTTCTTGCATAAACTAAACTAAAAAAAAAAAAAAACAGTTTCGCGCACTTATTCTGCAACAGTGCAAAAGAGACATTGTGATCAGTGTCCGGCTCATGAACTAATGGCTCTAACGAGTCGGTTCTTTTCAGTGAATAGAAAAAAAATACTCAATACTCAACCAGTGCAGTACAATTTCCAAACGAATGAATGAGTATCTGTGAGAGTCGGTTCTTTTTAATTATTCAAACATAAGCTTATTTTCTCACCCTCAAGTTGTTCCAAACCTGTATGAGTTTCTTTCTTCTGTTGAACAAAAAAGAAGATATTTTGAAGAATAACCAAACAGTTACTGGTAGACATTTACTTCCATAGTAAGTAAATACCATAGTATTACCATAGTATGGTTCATACAGGTTTGGAACAACATGACGGTGAGGAAATGATGACAAAACGTAAATTTTTTGGTGAATCGTCTATAAATTAGTGTAGTTACTGATGGAGAAATGCATCTTTTGTAAGAATTGTTTCAAATTTTTGTATTATTAAAACTATAACACACTTGGCAATGGAACTGAATTTCCTTTTCAAAACACATATTCTTTAAAAGTACTAATAAGATCATTAATGCAACCATCAAAGTAATCGTAATCGTTAATTCCTATTCCAACTCCTCTACATTTTTTCTACATCTTCTTATCACATAATTCTAGGTCAGTCGTACTGATGATAATACACATATGTTAGATCTGTTCTAATCTCTCCAAGTCATCAGCAAGTTAATACTAGGTCACTGAGAGCTTCAAGCCTGTTTTTAAAGAACCTGTTTAAATGCCTTACATCCTCAGAAACAAACATATGCCAGCATAGTTATTTAGTGGCAAGTGTATTAATTTATCAAAACACATTTAATCATATAAGAGAACAAAACAAACAATATCAACTTTGTTTTTAAAGAACACTGGATTATAGTAACCTACTTTCTCATCTCTTCTTAAAGCAGATCCACCATTTCCAAACAAGAATTGTGCCTTACTTTCCACCCAGAAACCCTGATTAAAGCTAAAGCAACAGACTCACGTCTGCGTCTGCATGAGCGGCATGCTGGTGGTCTCGTAGTTGTCGGGGTGGATGGGTGGCACCACCTCTCCGCTCACAGGATGGAAGACGGGCAGTGTCGAGAGAGGCCACGAAATCTCCCGGTTCTTAGACATGCTGCGAAGCTCCTTAGTAGACTTCTGAATGGAGCTGTGGTGAACCAGCTGAATACTGGGAATAGAAGGAGCAACTAAATGACTATTCAAAGCAAATGCATGCACAAAGGTATAATACAGAATGTTTGACGCTGCTATGCAACCGCTAAACATTTATATAAACACTGAATTGTAACACTGGGTTATTAATCTATTTTGCAAAGGGGTATTTGATGAATATTTGAGTCTTTTGTCACACTACCTCATTATGAGTTATTTACAATTATAATAAGCTGACATATATCTCTGTCACTGAAGCAGCTGCCCATTGATGACACCATGGAGACACGGAGGCGATTGTATGAATGAGATGGAAATGAACATGTCACCATGATGGAGGATTTGAGATAACAAAACATAGGGAAGCAAAAAAAAACAGGGGGACCTATGTAAAAACAGGAAAAAAGATCCGAAAGAGAGAAAGAAAAAGACCACAGGAGAGGGAACACTTACTCTGGTGTTTGCATGTTTCTTTTTTCCCTAGAAACAAAACAAAATGACTGAATTAAATTCTAATATTAATAGTTAAAGACAACCACACAAAAGCCAATGGAGAGTGAGTCAGGAGGGGAATGGAGGGGTGTGAATGGATCAACTGAGGTCTGGTGATGCAGGGGTCTCCTTCAGGCTGCGGCAGCTCTGATGGCGGGTGACATCACCAGGAAACACACTGGGATTGGCTGATAATGAAGAGGAAACATCTGCTGGAATGGCTCTGAATACAACAGATGGAACCTTTGGACTGAGTGTGTTTCAGTTAATGATTAAATGGTGAAAAAAAAACCTGATGCTTGATGAAGATGGTAAGCTGCTTTTTGGCAGGGATGCGACCCTGTCTTGCCTTCCAGAATTTGACAAATTCTAGAAAAGCCCTCAAGATCTTCACTTAACTGATTCAAAAGATGCCAGACTGGCACTACATGGTTTACTACGATCAAAAAGTAATCTAGCGTTTAAATGTTGATCATTAAACAATGGCCACTAAGTTCAAGAGTTAAGTATAAGAGCAGTTTTGTGCTTGCTTTACTTTCACCAAGAGTTTAGCACTGGAACTTACACCCCTTCCCGTCGGCAGCACAAGGAATAGCCGAGGATGATGAAGAGGACCAGGGCGACAGCTGAGGGCACCGCCAGGGTGATCAGGAAGTCCGCGAAATAGTCTCTACTTTTCAGTGACTCAGAAGGCGGGTTGTACTCGCCGATGTCCGGCAGCACACCTGTGCCCAGATCTGGACGGTTACTGTGCACAGGAACAACCTTAGTGATGTCCACCTTCAAGAACAAAAGACAAACTGGGCTCAGCATAAATAAATGCTTAACACTATTAGGGAATAAATATGTTACACTTCATTATCTGCTAAATTTGTTTAGCAAAATAAATAAAATAGATTTTGAGGTACACTACAGTTTAAACGTTTTTTAAACAGTTCTGAAGCGGAGGTCTCTTATGGCTGCATACAGCAAAATACAGTAAAAACTTGTGAAATATTATTACAATTAGAACTCTTTTCGATTTTAATATATTTTAAATTATTCATTTTAAACGGTAATTATAAATAATTAACAATTATTTTATTCATGTGATGCAAAGCTGAATTTTCGGCAGCCATTACTCCAGTCTTCAGTGTAACATGACCCTTCAGAAATCATTCTAATATGCTGATTTTTTTTTTTTTTTTTTTAAACGTCTTATTATTATCAATGTTGTAAACAGTTGTGCCACCTAATAATTTTGTGGAAACCATGATGCTTTTTTTAGGTTTCTTTGATGAGTAGAAGTTCCACAGACCGTTTATTTGAAATAGAATTTCAAATGACAAATGTCTGTACTGTCTCTTTTGATACATTTAATGTGTCTTTGCTGAATAAAAGTACTAATTTCTTTATAAAAAAAATCTCACTGACACCAAATGATGAAAAAAAAAAGAAGTTTTTGATGCCCAATATTTTTCTTTTGCTGACTAAGGTTTGATGCCTCTGATATTAATCTTATATTTAATTTATCTCTAGCTTTATCTCAACTTTTATGAATAATTATAATTAATATAATTAAACTTCTACTTTAAATATTGTGAAAATAATCATATTCAATAATGGCGGGGATCGTAAAAGTCTGTCTTCTTAAATGTTAATTTCAATGTTATGATTTAAATGTAAATGTTTTTCTCATTACGTCTCCCAATAGTAAAGTTACTTTTGGCACATATAGCTAAATGTTTCTTAAACCAAAAGATGGCTATTGTTGGATTAGTTGTAAGTAAAGTTGGAATAATATCTGATTTGAGATGATGGAAAAATGGAATAAAATAATTTAAAAAAAAAAAATGTATACTGTACATATACAAAAGTGCCTCTAAAAGTAAATGTCATGTTAACTTGAACACAACAGTGGCCTCTCATGGTGGATCTCATTCCACATTATGAACCAGATCATCTGGTGCTCACCAGAGAGATCTTGCACCAGTCGATGTGAAACTGAGCTCTGAACTTCTTATCGCAGCTGATGACGGGCTCCATCTCCTGACTGCAGCGCAGCTGGTTCTGTGGGGTCTCCACCTCCCGAAGGCACGACGAGAACTGTACGTCTGCTCCCACCATCACATACACGCTGTGAACGTCACAGAGACTTACTGAAGGGCAAGGATTTATGCACAATATTCATAAATATTTAAGCTGAGTTTGACAGTGAATTAGCACTCGGCGTAACCATGATGTACAGGAAGCATAAAGGCTCTGACGACAATAGCACTAGATGGACAATATACATCTTCTGTCTGCAAATATGAGTGTTTTCTGCTCTAACTGAGAGCTTCTAAAATGCTTCATATGGAACATTTTATCTTCTGAAAGAGGACATGAATATTTGATGAGCAACTTATGCCAACGCATGAGGGAATCCCTCTAAAGAAATGTGAACCGAGACGGGCAGCCTCTTACGTAAATTCACAGTTCAATACACACTGCTCTTCTGCCTTCCGGAACAAAATGTTCTCGCTTTCGTGAGTTTTTTTTTTTCCAAGAGTGAATACATTTTTTAATAATATTGCAATTTATACAGTTACTAAACCACTTGTTAGCATAATTAAGATTAGCCAGAAGATACACTACTGCTACTACTTCATATTTGTTGATTTATATCACAAGTTCTGTGCCAATAAAATGTTTAAATAAATTATTTTCAGTGTATCTTTAGATCTCACCCCTCTTTCAGGTCGTTGATGGGTAATGGCACTCGTCCGCCCCGGTCCAGCGCTGAAGTGATGTTGATGGCATTGAGCCTCTCTGGTTGCCACACGTTCTTGACAGCACCGAGAAAATCTCCCAGCACCTCACTGGCTAACATCTCCTCAACATTTATGTTCTTGATGAAGAACTCAGCCTGATAGGGCAGAGGAAATTCTGCCAGAGAGCAAAAGAGCACAGACATGAACATATCTTCCTGTATGCAATTAGAAGTAACCTAAACTAGGTTATATAACAGTTGGATAATATGGCTGTCATGTCGAAGTGTCTCTTTATGGCAGATGGTGGTGAGCATCACAGTAAGGTCACATCTGCACTGAAACTGTTGCTCAGCTTAAAGCTAAACACAGACCAGTAATGGGAATCTCATAGCATTTAATATAAACATAAAGCAGATCCGCCTGTGAAAGAGACAGCAAATATTTTGCAACATTTTCCCAAATATAATGTGGTGAATATACTGTTAAAATACACAAATAAACAATGCTGTTACCTGTTTAAAAAAAATCACCTGTTTTTTTTTTACAGTGTTACATAATAGTGTTACAAAAACAACGTTAATGTCTGTCTGGTATATTCATGAATCTTATAATGACCTTAAAAATACATGTTTTCCATACTTTAGGATTATTCTCCATATTAAGGTTTTCAGTCAAACAACAAAGTCTTTCTTTGAGCATATGGCTGCATGTTATAATGAGATTTGCTAAATCAAAACTATAAGTCCTTGGCTCTCACCTTCTGTAGACATGATGTTTATGACCAAGTTGTGTCTGGCAGTTTCAAAAGTGCGTTTATTATACGCGGTAATCTGCAACACACAAGAGGGAAAGTTTAAGCCCGGCTCAGGACAGCTTTACATTCATACCATGCAGAGGAAGTCAGAACCAGATGCAAACACATAAAGTTTCTCAAGGGTAAAGAAGAATAACAAAGCCAAATCCTTACATGAATCTAAAGCCTGAACAATACACAAAGAGGAGATAAGCATTCTCATGCATACAATTTCAACTTTGCCCTGTTACCTTCTATTTTCCTAGCAAAAAATGATTCGATTTATTTCTACAAAAAATAAAAACTATACACGGCTGTTCAAAAGTTGGGTCGGTAAGATTTTTAAAAAGAAGCATTTTTCGTAACATTATAATATTGGCTTTATTGTCAATTTTGATCAATTTAATGCATCCTTGCTGAATAAAAAGTATTAATTTCTTTCAAAGGAACTTTACTGACCCCAAACTTTTAAACGGTAGTGTATATGAGGTCAGATGTGTTTATACATAACACACCTCGATGATAGTCGGCTTGCCCACATGTTCAGCGGTTGGTGAGCCATAGAGGACTCCATCACTATGAGAGGTTCTCTGAATGTACCGCAGCCATCCAGGCCTGTCGGGATAGCCTTTAAGGTTGGTGTTAAATGTGATGGGGTCATTACTCGAATCACCTGAAATGAAGAATAATTTTCAGTTGTATTTATTTAAGCAATAAGGTATGACAGACTGTGCCAATTGTGCTTTTGCATGGCTACAGCAAAATAAAAATATTATGGAGAGAAATGTTCTTTACATTCATTATGTGCCATATTTCACTAGAAGATATAGGCTCTGACATGTAAACTGACTTTAATATGTTTCGTGTGCAGTGATATTTGCTACTTAAGCAAAGTAGCTACCAAGGTGAACAGGTGTTTCATAAAATTAATAGAGCGAAACATTTATTCTGTATAGGCACATTACTGTGTAAGTAGTGGAGTAAATATACCTGCTTTTGGATACGGTGGGAACTCCCCTTTAAAGTATTCCCTCTCTAGCACATGAACGAAAAGCACTCCGGCAGAAGGATAAACGTTGCGGTCCGCATGCGACTTAGAGAGGATGGTGACCACTGGTGCGGACAGAAATGACAAAAGAATTAAATGCAGTGTAATGTGGCAGACTAAATTCCCTTACTGTAAACAGTAAAACATCTGCACAGACAATAAAGAAATAGCTATTAGAAAACAATCAAATATATATTCACACTACCATTCAAATGTTTGGGGTCAGTACAATTTTTTTGAAAATAAATTAATACTTCTATTCAGCAAGGACAAATTATGATCAAAATTACAGTAAAGAATTTTATAAAGATTTTTTGACAAAAACATTAAGCAGCACAATTTTTTAAAATATTTATAAGTTTTTCTTGAGCACCAAATCATCATATTAGAATGATATCTAAAGGATCATGTGACATTGAAAACTGGAGTAATGGCTGCTGAAAATTCAGCTTTGCCATCCATCACATGAATAATATAAATGACATTAAAATAGAATAGTTATTTGAATTGTAATAATATCTCACAATATTACAGTTTTTACTCTATTTCTGATTGAATAAATGCAGCCTTGGTGAGCATAGGAGACTTCTATCAAAAACTATTAAATGGTAGTGTATATACTTTATATAAAACCAAACATTAAATTTTCATAGAAATGTAAAAAATAAATAAATAAGATTTTGTTATACCATAATAAACAATTTGATGCTTGAGACAGACATAACAAATAATGTTATAATTTAGGTTTATGATTTAGAGAAGCTTAACAGTGATTATTTTTGCATTCATAATTTGTTGTCCTTTTCCAGTACTCCAATGTAAACTCTCTATTTTAACTTGTATTTATTTTTAATGCATTTATGTAACGGGGTGTGTTTCTTTCTTTTAAAAATCATCTGAGTGGGAGTGTGTGAGAATGTGTTATGTGAGCAAGTGGGTAAGTGTGTGTTGGGTATCAGGCCAATCAGTCCTACCAGGACGGTAGTACAGTGAGTCACAATCTCAAATGCTCATTGCACCTCTCACACGCCTTCCCCCACACCTCGCTCAGCACATCAAAACCCTTTCTCTGGCATAACACATGCACATAAGAGTATATTCTCTATAAGAGTATATTCAAGCATTATTTCAGAGGAAAGCACTAATTTTTTTCAGCAGTTTATAACAGAAACTGGAGAGATGGTTGCCAGCATGCTTTTAGTCTTTCTTTTCTCACTTGAAGTCAGCTGGGAGGAAGCTGATTTTAAATCTCCACAGGGGAGTGTGCTGCAGTGGGAGAAAGCTACTGCAGCGATGCACTACAGAAATGCCAGATCTCTTCAAGCTTTCAGATACAAAACAGCTCCTAGTACATCACTCAAGGCAGAGCATGTGCTTACACGGCTCCAGACTGCGACTAAACGGCTCGCATTTGTGACCAAAAATATTAATTTTGCTGAGATCGCCACTGGCAACTATATAAATTTACATGTTCTGACTTAAAAATATGAATTGTGACTGACGTGTGAAAGACGTTTAGTTCCCACTTTAAGTAAACCTTAAAACTCCCAGGACATCTACAAAATGGATTAAAATGCTGATGCAGTATAAGGAGGGGAGACATAAATACATGACAGTATGAATGAAATGTTAAGGTGTTTAAAAATAAATAAATAAAACACGTTTATTCTGTGTTATAAAAAAATTAATTTGGCACCTATTTTTGTTTCTTATAGAAGGCAATGGCTCCTTAAGTGATTTTTTTTGTCTGGAGCCCTGGCTTACATGGAGGCACATTAAACTGGTCAGGACAGCACAAACCAAGGGATTACACAAAGAAAGTTGACATAAATATGAAGACATAAAGATAAAATAATCTTTCGATACATCAACAAACAAACAAAACTGTCCTGTGGATTAGAACCAGCCTACCCCAAAAATTATCTCTTTCACACACACACACAAGCATAATGTCTATAAGAGTATATAATATGTAAATTATTTACATTTTAAATGAATAAAATAAATGCTATTTTTAAATTGCACTTTAATTTACACTATTTGCAATTAATGTTATGCTATTATTCCTGCAGAAAGCAGGCTGTAAACAGAATGATTATGTACATTTTCTGATTATTGGTCCAATTATAATCAAATGATGAAGAAGACCATTATAATTAGGCTATATTGAGACAAGCGGTGAAGACTTTTAGTATTTTATAGAGCTGATTCAGGTATCTAAATCACAACAATAAATTCACACACACCAACACACCTATATATTGTGCATCAAAAGATATTTTTTAATATATTGAAATATTATTAGTAGTTATTTTATGCAAATTATTTACAATTGTATTTAAATTAATAAAAATTATTGTTAATATATTTTCTTGGTAAACTATGTCCTATTCAAAATGTTATGCTATTATTGTTGCAGAGGGCAGGCTGTAAACGCACTGTTTATGTACATTTTCTAGTGATTACTGATGTAGCAAATTATCGAATAATGATCAATTGATATTTATAATGGGAGATTACAACAGAGTACAGGCTATATTCAAACAAGCGGCGCAGACTAGCACACTTTTACAATTTTCTGGATCTCATTGTTGGAGTGATGCTCTACAGTCACACTAAAGTATGCAGATTTCGGTAGTTACTGCATCCTCCACAACATAGCACTCAGAATGAGAAACCAAGATGGGAAACTATGTCATGTGAACTGCACTATACAGATTTTTTTGCATTTTTGTGTTACCTCATTTGCATAAATTCTTTAGTGAACTTATTGCTAAAGCAATGCGGACAGTGCATGCAAATAAACACTATAAGCAAGCATAATTCATAATTTAATGAGTTACATTACTTTTTTTATGGAAAGGTGTTCTATTCCAATAAGACTTGCACTTCTGGTCACATGTGCAGAATTGTGAAAAAACTGCTAAAAAACAGACTATTTTGATAAGCAACAGCTTTCTGAACAGCTGAGTCATTAGTAATGTTTTTATCCATGGTGGAGGTATTGATCTGTTTCTGGGGTGTTGATGGCTGTGGTTTTGTGCACATGGGGTCACAGATGCATGCTTTGAATAATTGGAGTGCCAGATGGTTTATTCTGTCACCCTGAGGGCGACCTTAGCCCAGAGCCTGATATAAACCCGAAAGCGACAAAACCACATCCCAGACTCTATAAAATGTAGGGGTGTAACAGTTCTCGGTAAAAAAAAAAAAATCGAACCGTACCATTCTCCACCCACGGTTCGGCACATACTTGCACCGCGGTTCAACTTAAATCTGACAACGCATTTGTAATATGGTTTGTTAAAAATAACAACACATAAAACAGACAGAGATTCGGCTAATGTATGTTTCTGTCGATGGATACACATTCTGGCTTCCCAATACATTACAACAACGATGAACAAAAAAAACGTGGACAAACCTCTTTGTAAACTTTGTTCAATGCCAGTGCCGTATGTACAAATTTAACCAGTCATTTATGCCGTCATCACCTGAACAGCACACGTTGCTATCTGTGTTTAAACTAAATGCATTTATGCCTTGCCTGTTTAAACATTCAAGAGCCAAAAGACACGAATGAAAACTCGCATTCAGGTCTCAGGTCTCAGACAGCGCGCACATATTGAGTTCTCTTTCAAGTCTTGTGCTTGAATGGACAAATTCACACAAAAATTATGTCAACATGCCCGTCTTGGTTAGTATCCTAGCAGACATAGTCGGATGAACGTACAGTATCATCAGTGTACTGGATCCGTGCATTGTCTTAAAGTGACAGCAGGCTATATACCTGCTGTCTGTGTTTTTAATGTTAATCAAAAAAACAAAAGACAAGGATATCATTCACTGCTCTTTATTGAATAGCTTTTGTAACTTTAATAAGGATTAATCTTCAATTTATACAGTAAAATATGCAATGTTATTTTACATTTGATTATTTTATTCCATTTCTGTACCTAAAAACTAAAGTTAGAACTACCTAAAAACACCTGAAAATCACTTTTTATTTTATTTATCTTTGCTCTATTGTATTTATTTGTGATGTTGCTTGTAGTTAGATTATTTGTTCTTATTTTTATTTGACAGTATAGGCCTAGTCCTTTTTCCCCTAAAATAGCACATACCGAACCGTACCAAAACCATGGTACAAAATTAACCGTGAGTAATTTGAACCATTACACCCCTAATAAACTGATTTGAATACTATGTGAACTCAAGGCAATCTGAAGGTAATCCACAATATTATATTCTAATGGATCAACCATTAATGGTTAATGCCAAACTTTTCAACGCTAAGTAATGGAAGAGCGAACACACACATGCGCAAAGCCCTGCAGTAGAAATGGCTAATCCTGGTTTATGATTTTGTGGGCCGACCTTGGGTGGGCCAAATGAAGATATTCATCATGTGCCAACTGAGAAAAGACACTTTCTCTTTCGCTCCCTCCCTTTCCGTGACACAGCCAGGGATGTCCTACTGAACTGTCGAATCAGCGCTGTGCTGACTTCTCTTTTCCGGTCAAAGGGGAATTCATGCACTTCACGACTCATTGGGGGGGAAAAAACAGTGTAGAGTCAGACTAATTGCAGGATTGTGAAGACATCAAACTGTTCAAAGTACTGCGCCTGGATGTCAGTGTTATGCACAAAACTGGGTCAGCTTGTCATGACTAAGTTGTAGCCGGGAACACACTCAAAGTGAAGCGAGTGAATGCTTTTCTCAAGCCGTCCATTTATCAGGTAATACCGATTTTAATTTTAATACATTTGAATAGTGGACACTGGTTTTAATATCAATGCATTCATTTATAATGGACATAAAACGCAAAATGTATTATGCACATCAAAAGGTGTATGCAAACCATTTAAAAAAAAAAAAAAATGTTATATATTAGAGGTTGAATAACTGGGCAACTGCATGTTATAATATACAAACAGTGGTTTTGTTAAAGGAGTAGTTCTTCCCCTTCTACTTCAAAAGAGTCAAGAGGAAGGTGAATTATATAGGTTGGTGATTCAGCAGGTTGGCAGGTGTTAAGCCCAAAAAGCTTTACACAGCAAAGTGCCGTGCATGTGTTATGATCGCTTCAAACATGTCGGCTTTGTCTCAAAATCTAGTGAGCTGCCTACCTAGTCAGCATTATGAATATCACATTTACCACTTTGGGTATCTGGCTATGCATGCCTATAATGTCCAAGCCTTCTGTATAAGTATTTCATGAATTAATCAGTGTACTGAATTAATATTTTAAGAGAATGAATCATTCCAGTTCACCTGACTCATATTTTTCATTCATCTGCTGTACATCTCTCCTTTTTTAAAGTAGGATATATGACTGCGTTAGTCGATTATTGTTATTTCTTGATAAAAGCAATTCACAGCCGTTCATAAAATTATGAAAAACAACAATAGATCTGTTATGTTGTTTTCTGTGGTCTCCCAGTCGATTTTTAATTGTAACGTTAAACAAAAATGAAAACATTAATTATCTAGCATAACCTGCAGAAAAGGCCACTGAACCGATTCAAAAGATTCGATTCACTTGGATGAATCACAATCCCCACCGTTACTAGGCAGGCAACGTACTAGTTTTTGAGACACAGCCAGTCTTTACAGTCACTCACCGCCACTCTGAAACACTGATCTCTGTTTGGAGTCGATCAAAGCCCGGGTTTGGCCGTCTATGCCACTGAGAGAACGAACAATTACGGCTTTTACAACGGACAAAGAGGAATAATAGAGGAAAAATGTCATAAAACCATTTACTAAGAAAAAAGGCGTTGTGATCTTGACCAGACAAGAAATGACAAGAAATTCCTGTTGTTTAGGCAAAAGAACCAAGTGTAATTATGTTGCTGGCATTTAGCTACCGTATAAGACCAGCGGCAGGTATAAAATAATATATTATTAGTGGAATCTGCTATATTAACGTCACCTACACGTAATACAGTTGATACACCGTCTCTGCCGCTTTGAATTAACGATTAACTGCCAGTCAGTTTATCCATATGATGTAATGAGAACGAGAGCTATTCCGTTAGCCAGCAGGCTAGCTATCATCCAATGGAAAAGAACGAGTATTTCTCCCAGTGTCGTCGTCTCAGGTCTATATACGTACCCACTATGAGCCCCGCGAAAACGCCAACCGAGGCCATCGTTCACTTGCCGCAGTGGCTTTTAACATCACACATTTGAAGTGTCGCTGGTGGTCCTCGGGATGTGACAGCCATAAGCATCATCCTCCGCTGCTCGGATTCCTCCCACTCACTGAAGCTGATGGGCGCTGGTTGGCTGAAACATCTGGCGCAGAAGCTGGAAAAAATCACAAGCTATATTTACAGGGGGACCCAGTTAGGACGGAATGGAAAACATATGTAGTACAATCCATACAATAATTATTTTGTAGAATGCAAACCGAAGCATTTATTATTATTATTTGGTTTATGATATAAGATTTAAATAGACGTTTATATAATTTGCATAATATCTATCTAACTAGCTCCCACATGACTACTTTTGCTCATGTTTTCAATTTATGTGTATTCTGTAAAATTTCTTTCAGTCATTTTTTGCAATTTTTTTATTTAGGCTACCTGAACAAATTTCTGAAAACTTTGCTTAGATTTGAAGTCTTTCTTGCTGAGATTTCCCATACTGTGTTAAATCTTACCAAATTATTAGCTATATATGATCTTATCTTTTGTACTGATTTGTCCTTTGTTTAGCTGTTTGTATTTCTCCTTTTCCATTCATTCATTCATTCATTTCAATGCAATACTGTTCCTTATTTGTAATTAAAAAGATGATCAGTGGGAAAAAAATTAATGTTTTATAATTAAATATAATTACAATAACAATAGTGATAATATTAGCAATAATTATTATTATTAAAAAAGCACATATTGTATTATATATATAATTTAAAGTGGCTGAAAAAAGTGCAATATGTTTATCATTGCTGTTTGTGACTGACACCACTTTGATTTTACTTTCAATTTTAAAATTGATGACTTATGTACACAGTAGCATGACCACTGAAATGTGATTTATTTATTTATTTGGTTTCAGCATGTAGTGCAAATGCAGTGCTGTAAGACACAAACGCAACCCCTCTCTAAGGATAATGCACAGGAGACTCCTCCCTCCCCCATCCATGGATCTGGCTTTGTAGGATGGAGCTGTCAGTGATGCAGGCGATGTGATGTGATGTGATGTGATGCGCGTAAGGGTTGGTTGTTCATCATCTTTGAATAGCGCAATGGTCGCACTTTTGCTAAATGCATATTTACATTTGCCACAAATGTGTTTCACGTTTATTTGCGTTATGCATGTTGTGAGCGTTAAATGCACGCTGTTATCTAACCAACAACAACTGTTTTACATCTCACTCTTTTGTTTTGGAGCAACAACAAGGGAGTTAAGCAATACTTGTGCCACTTCTGTTTCGTGTTTGTGTGCGATGTTTTGCTAGCTGTGGCTAAATACACTCGCTGGAATGAGCTAGGTCTGTAATTTTGGAGTGTTTATGGATCTGGCTTTGTAGGATGGAGCTGTCAGTGATGCAGGCGATGTGATGTGATGCGCGTAAGGGTTGGTTGTTCATCATCTTTGAATAGCGCAATGGTCGCACTTTTGCTAAATGCATATTTACATTTGCCACAAATGTGTTTCACGTTTATTTGCGTTATGCATGTTGTGAGCGTTAAATGCACGCTGGTATCTAACCAACAACAACTGTTTTACATCATGCAGGTAGCGTGCACAGTTATATTTTGTCCTTGTGTTGGTCTGAAATGTGCATCTGCCTTTCCGTGCTCTTATTATTGATATAAAATATTAATTCATGAGATGTGGGGTGGGATTTTAAAACCATCCTGGCAGACAAATGCAGCGGCTGTCTGCGGTTTACACGATGGGTGATGGAAGGCAAATCTAATCTGTGAGTCACATCGAGATCTGCGTCGAAAACACATCGTGCATCAACATAATCGCGCTGAAACTGAGTGCTCCGTCGGCCGTTATGGCAAAGTGATGATCACGCATTATGTTCAAGAACCAGGGCGGTGGATTCTAGAGCCAGTGCAAAGGCATCTTCCAGCATCCGAGCCCCCTATTCGATGTGTTGTTTACAAACTGATGTGCAGAGTTGCTTTAGAGATGTTGTTGTTTTCATCTGCCCTGCTGCTGTTTAGTAGGCTATTGTAACAACGAATTTGGGGAAGTGACTCTATTAAGTCAACCCAAATCTAAGTTTCACATGTTTTTGTGTAGATATGTGAGCAGACTTAAAGTTAAGTTTGAGATTCATGTCTCATCAAAACACTAACAAAATTAAACTGCTTTATTTAATTGCAAAATTCAGAGTGGGCTTATAATGTGTATACATTATATACTGGAATATACATTTCCAATGTAAATGTTTCACATCATATTAGACACTTCGATTTAGATTCATTTTTGATTAGTCAGTGTGATTATATACTGGAATATACATTTCCAATGTAAATGTTTCACATCATATTACACTTCTTCGATTTAGATTCATTTTTGATTAGTCAGCGTGACTAATTAAAGAGCTGCTGTTCAAACTGGAGTATCTGAGCATCCATTCAACAATATCCAAACATTCTCAGTCTGGATGTTACTTTAATCTTACCATGGTCATCTTAAAGTCAGCCAGTTTCTCTGGTACACTCCTTTCTCTGGCTGAGCATCTATTTGGACTATTAAGCTTTCTGCCTCAGGTCATTGTATCAACTTCATTTTTTTTTTTTTGCCAATGCTGCAGCTTGTTGTGAGACTTATTTTTAGGCTCTGTAGTCCCAAATTTTTTTGTTTCTCAGTGTGTCTTCACAATAAAATGTAAGTGGGTAAAGTTCTTGAATTAAAAGGATGTGTTCTGAGCACAGTGATTTCAGTTAATGCTTTTTATAAGAAGTTCTGTACTGTAGGTTCTTATCTTAGTGAGCTTATTAGGAACAATAGGGGTCAATGCAGTCATTTCTAATAATCCGACTTGACAAAAAAAAAGTTATATATCTTTGATTATACTCACAGACAGATCATTAGATATTTTTTGCCTCAAAAAGCTTCTATATATATAATTTTATGTTCATTCTGAAGCATCATGTGACACTGAAGACTGGAGTAATGACTACTGAAAATTCAGCTTTGCCATCACAGAAATAAATTACATTTTAAAATATATTCAAATAGTAAACTTTGTTTTTAAATTGTAGTAATATTTCACAATATTACTGTTTTTACCGTATTTTTGATCAAATAAATGCAGACTTGAATGAACACAAGACTACTTTCAAAAACATTAAAAAACATACCAACCCCAAACTTTTGAATGTTAGTTTATATACTGTATGTATATAATATAACAACAACTAGGCCTATGTGGCACTTATTGCATATATGGGCTTAAGGTCACTTACTCTATAGGGTCACAAATTAATGACAAGTTTCCACTTTTTACAGTGTATAATTGTTTGCTGTGCACACATAATTGCATAATTTGTAAACAAACAAGCTACTCATAAAATTTTTGTAAATGTTTTCAGGAATTCCCAACAAAATGTGATTGCACCCAACAAACATCCGGAAGGAATGTTACTGAATATTTGAAAAGACCTCCATTGTCGAGGCTAAGATGTTGAAGACAGAGGCCTCGGCAGAGAGAAATACCCTGAGGAGCGCTTCCCCACACCGGAATGCCTACAGGGCAGAGTTCCAGGCTCTAAAGAAGGCTTTTGACCAACCGAGACAGGATGGAGACCCCAAACTTAAGGACACGGAGGGGGTCAGGCAGCCTCGAGGGCGGCAATACGGGGCCCATGTCAGTCGCATCAAGAACATGTTCATGCAGATGGGGACTGAGAATGCTGGGTCCAACAGACGATCGAGGGATGAGACCTCCCCGCCAAAACTCAACAAGCCAACAAACTTCGTCAACAGGGTGGATGGATCAGTGGTCAAATTCCAGCATGGCACTGGAGAGCGGACTACCGGTGGCCAGCATAACTCAAAGTTCTCCGAAACAAGGAAACTCTTTGAGCAGAGCTCCAGAGATGCTTCACAGTCGCCCGTGTACTCTTACGGCCGGGACAAGAGGGGTTCTCACGAGCATTTGGATGACTGGCGGGGGGCGCTTTCTAACAGAGGCAGTACGGACTCTTTGGATAGTCTTTGCTCCAGGACAGAGGCCTCATCTCCCACTGTGAGTCAGCTCAGTGCTGTGTTCGAAAATATAGACCAACAGGGCTCCGGTGGTACTTTCCGAAGAGGCCATGGAGGTGGAAGAGGACTGTACTCCCCAGATGGCTTACAGAGACACGGGGAGGCCAGCGAGGACGACACCAGTGCGCGACAGTCTCCGTCACATGGTTTTTACAGGACGCGAGTGGGTAGCAAGCACAATCTGCCGGTTTCTTCATCTTCAGAAGATCTTCTCAGTCCTAGTCCTCTGTCGGAGGCCGTGGACCAGGTGAAAACTGATGAGAAGAAGCCCCAGGAAACCTCCGAGGTGGTTTATGGATCCAGTGAACCCAAACCAAAAGATGAGGTAAACTCAACCGAGGCCGTAGATGGTTCTTCAGCTGCGGCTCAAGTCAATGACGCTGCAGGAAATTCACATGAGTCTACAGCTACCAAGGTCCACGAGGACACAGACGGTCATGTGAAAGAGGAGTCTAGCCGGATTACCGAGGATCAAATTGAAGAACCCAATGAGGAATACTGTAGCAGTGAGAGAGTTATTTTCACTGCCGATGGAGATGCTTGCTACCAGGGCTGGGGGGAGAGCTGCACAGACCCAGAGGATGACCTATATGATGAAGATCTTTCCTATGACCCAGGATTAGAGATTACAGAGATTCCTGGTATTCCAGAGGAGGACAAGGAGGAAATTCCACAAAAACGGAAAATTCGATTCAGCTCTGCTCCCATAAAAGTAAGTTTATTGCTGGTCTTTAACCATATTAATGGGTCAGTTATGTGACCTTTAAAGTTGACATGAATGGAAATTCAGTTTTCTAAATGCATCTTATTAATCTTATTGTGAACAATTCATCCACTCATATGTTTCATTTTTTTAAACTTTTTCCTAATTTTTTATTAAAATGTGAAAAACTCAGTTTTACAGAGAAACAAATGTCTTTTCTCTGGTGACGTATGGTGGACTTCCCCAATTATTTTTTTCTGTTTAAACCCCGCCTCATATTCAGATCTGCTTCCATCCAATCAACAGTCAATGGATAGAACCAATTTC